TTTAAGTAACATCTCCAGGCACTGACTGCAGAAAGGCTTTGGAGACACTATGTTCTCTTACAAAGAAAACATCAACACCCCACAGCAGCCTCTCATAGCTGTAGGCTTTTCCCTTGACTCATCTGAAATATTTAACTTGAGTAGGTGGAAGTAGACCAGCCTGCTGGATCCCAAACTATCCTGATAAACCCACCTTGGAAATTTTAGGAGGTAAAATAAGCCAGGACAGCAGAGGGAGAGATGGGCTCAGTCCCTGCCCACATGAAACCCCTACTAATAGTCCTACCCACAAGAGTCTGTTCCTTCAAGGTTCTACACACAAGGGAGAGGTAATAAGTTTCTGGCCACTGGGGGCCAAAAAGGTAACAGCACATGTTACTTTAGTTGGTTGTCTTATTGCCTCTCACTCCATCTACAGGCCCCACCCACATGGCCATTCCCATACCCTGGGAGGCCTTCCCTTTGTCTTCTACTTTCCTGCCCGCTCAGATGCAGTTTCAGAAGAGCTTCTCCTCAGGAATGGAATACATTTTCAAGTACTACTTGGTGGTCTCCCACATTGCTATGTCCAGTGCACCTGGGGTCCAGGGGTCACTGTGAACATCATATCCCCTAAATCACACCACCATTCTGCAGAAATTTCCACATTGCCCTGAGATCCTCCTGGGATGGTGCACTGCTCAATCATGGTTCCAGGGTGTTTGTAGTTAAAAATCACTCAGTTTGGTTCTGTTTGGTTCTGTGTAAAACTTTGCCTGTGGTCCATATGGATGCTGCATGCATTTGTTTCCTCCTTAAAACCCTCATCATCACTCATCTCAACCCATGCCAGGTCAACTCATCAGTCAATTGTGTAGCAGCTTGCATAGTTCTGGTGTGTGTGAATCTTGGTGGCTTAAACTCATGCCAGGTGTTTGTATGTGCATGCCCAAGATCCTGAGAGAAGAATGGAGAATGGATTCTGGCATGGCCACCCCCCCAGGGGGTGATTTCTCACTTTCTGTCTCTCTCTCTCTGTTGCTCTCTGTCTTTGTGGTGAGCACATGTGCGGTATAGCAAACAGCCACCCCCCATCACTAAAAAAATTTAAAAAAAAGAAGAGAAGAGAAAATTCTAGTACCTTTAATAGGGATTATTCCAAATTATTGTTCTAAGAATTATTTAATTTTATTTATTATTGTTATTATTTTAATTTGATATAATCAACAGAGAGAGATAAAGTTGGGAGGAGGAGTGAGAAAGCAAGTCATTAGGTCTGTCAAGTCCAGGACTCACATTGTTGACCATGTGGCAGTCCAGCACATTAACCTCCACCACCTGTAGGCCTTCAAAGATTTGAATGAAGGCATCTTATGTGGTTTTATATATATATATTTAAGTTTTGATATGAACAGTTTTACTGTTTTTTTTCCTCCTACAACTTTTTTTAAAAAATTACTTAGCATTCATTCCCTGAGCATCATCACAACATACTAAATGTAGTTTCCCATCTAGAATAAACTGTATAGTGGCTTAATCATGCATGTTATCATCAATAATATTCCATTTCTACTTTCATACATATGTATATGTATATATATATGTTTTTTTACCCCATGTTTGACCCACTGCCCTTTTCCACTCACTTATTACACTATCTCTGCTATATACAGTTGTCTTCCATTCCTTTCCCCCAACATTTTGCTGATCACACAATATCATAAGTAATCTAACTACATTCAATAGCAACTTCAGCTGGTAATTTCAAGAAAAGCAGTTTTGAACTGGTAATGATATTACCTTGAAACTTAAAGCCTAGAAACAGGTTAGCATTCTGTTCAAATAGTAGGTACATGCACCTATTGACAGCTCAAGACAGGACAAAAATCCTTTAAAACCAGACAACAAAGCTTAGAAGGAAAGCAGCAACATTTTAGTTAAGTCACAGAATGTTGTTTCTTCAGTTCAGTCTCATGTACTTAATCTTTCTTCTGTTGAGGTTCGATCTTCCAGATTAAATTCTGGGATATAATATTCATCTCCAGACATTGGCCCTACAATTAAGTCACCCATTTTCTTAGTTTTTGAACTCTTATTTCTGTGTGTCTGCATTTAATTTTACTGACATAGCACTCCCTTAAGAACTTCTTGGAGATCTGGTCTGGTGCTGATAAACTCTTTCAGGTTTTGTTTATCTGGGAATGTTCGTGTCTTTTCTTCCCAGGTGAATGATGATTTTTCTGGGTACAGTATTCTCACTTAAAATTGCTTTTCCCTTAACACGTTGAATTTATTTTCCCATTCTTTCCTCGCTCTCATTGTTTCCGATGAGAGATCTGCTGTTAGTCTGATGGGATACCCCTTGTAGGTAACTTGCCATTTTTCTCTTGCCAATCTTAGTATCTTGTCTTTGTCTGTGGTTTTGGTCAACCTGGCTATAATGTGTCTTGGAGAAGATCTTCTTGTGTTGATTCTACTTGGGGTCCTCTGTATTTCTTGGG